ACTGTCGATGGTGGATCTCTCCCCAGCACTGCGGCCTAGTGAGATTCAGCCGTGTCGTTTTCCTCAGCCGAAAATTGGCGCGTTGCCTTTGAACGAAGATGCTTCCAAGGAGCTCAATTGTAAGTTGACCGCGGCAATACCGCACACTTTTCCTCATCCTGCTTGTTGACCAACTTATTTAATTGGCTTCCTGTAGACTGACCCGAGACTCAGCGGGAGAGGGTGCTGCTCGGCCAGGCACAGTACACAAGAGAACCTAAGGTCCATGACGGGGCTGTTGCGAATCGCGTTACCTGTACTGCTGTCGTGTCGAATCGGTAACTTACTCTGTTGTGTTACAACAGCGGATGAGGCTGCTGTCGCGCAGAAGACGATTTTCGATGTCCTTTCGCAGTCACATTTCGATTAGTCAAGCTCCAAGCCTAAAACATCAATGCCATCTCCTGGCGATGCGCCATCCATCTTCCCTTCGATGGCTTGCGAGCTCTGCTGAAATTCTCTAAAGTTCCTGACGCGCTGTTGACAACGAAAGCCCATTACTAAAGACATCGCATCATTTTGATTGAACGAAAGTATAACGGACCATATTATCGCATTACCCCAATATCCTATTACAACGTGTTATTTTGAAGGCCGCAACTCCTCGTTATTGTTTGACCATGGGAGACTCACTCGCACAGACAAGAAATACCGACTGGTGGACGAATTGGCGGGTAATGTGGCGGATTCTGAAACCGCCAATGTGAGTCCAAGTGACAGAAATTTGGCCTGCTGGCTTTGATAGATTGGCGGGAGAGTGTGCAACTGAAACGGCACTAGATGTTAGATACACCGGGGTTGTTCAGATTCATGATAGATTATGTAATAATCGATTCATAATCTTATTAATTTGTTGTTGTGTTGTTGTGTGATTGTTCTGGGCAGCCCAACCCTTGATATTTGCTTCAGCCACAGCATCTATTGCAATAGCTAGGGTTTGTCTTCATTAATCGACTAGACCTCGTTAATTCACTCCCCCAACAGCCCAGATATGCACTAATCGTGCTTTGTCAAGTGAAATTTATGGTTCGTATTAAGAAATGATGCTCAAGATTTTAGACAGCCCCTGCAAGTCGCCTTCCACTGTGCCAGCCTTTTCCGCATCAACCCACCCCAGGGTGTAGCTTCCACCAAAATCAATAATCCATGCATTGTCGTCCATATCGATCAAAATATTTTCAGCCTTTGCGTCGCCCCAAATGATGTTCCGATCGTGAAGTATATGCACCGTGTCGCTGATCTGGGTTGCCCAACGTCTCCTTAGCTCAACTGAGCTCTGGTTTGCTCTCGCTTTTGACAAAACGCCTTTATTGTTGATCCAGGTGAATAGCATGCCTGCTAATCCGTTTCCATCGCGAACAACGCCATGTAAGCGACAAATGAATGCCTGCGGAGGGGGGAGGTATGTGAGCCTGGGCAAGCCTTTTGTGGGTTCTAAGTTCCATCCTCGCATGCTTGGGTCCGAATGAGAGGTCAAACCGTTTGAAAAAACATTCTATGTGACTGCCATCGTCAGCATGGACTACCGCTCGTCGTGGCGGTTTAATCAGAACATCCTGTGGGTTTTCATAGCAAATATCGACTTCGCAAGGATGATAGGCCCGTGTCCAGCTATCCAGGTCGTCCAGAAAGTCATTTCCCACGAGGACCAGAGGGCTAACCCAGCCGTGTTCCTGAGAGGCTAGCTCATACGCTCGTAGCTTCTCATCCGTAGCAACAAGCGAACAGACGAAATAGGGAGGGAAAAGGTATTGGGCTAAAGTAGGCAACCCGCTTCCCGGTTTTTTCGACGTTCGAGGGGCGGGGCGCGCTACCAGCGGCTGGAATGGTTTCGAAAGCCAGTCGCACGCATCCTCGAGATAAAAATCTTCTTCTTCATCTACTTCTTCGCCTGAACGTAGTAGGTTGAGACATTTACAGTGTTGTTCTTTAGCCAGGGGGGACGATGGAACTGCGACGGCAAAATTTCGCAGTAAAAGGCACACCCGTTGTCAGTTCGTATTATAAAAGAGCAGTCATCATCGCTTTCGTGTGTCTCCCATAGAGCGATATCATATTTCGGGCTGTTATCCATGACTTCTGATGGGCTTTGAAAGGCAGCCATCGTTGACTAGGGTAGAACGTTAGCGATTAGTCCCCGGAAGTACATCTGGCGATACACCAGGAGACCATGGCGTCCAATCAGCGCCTGTGATTGGCAGGCCCCTTCCAGCAAAAGATGCGAAAAGGATTCAAGGAGTACCATCCAATTAAAATGCAAATTGTGGTTCTAATGTGACGAAGCTTGAAGTCATTGGTCATCTCTGACACAATTTATAGGCTTAAACGATACATTACGTTTATTCAGCGCTTAATTTTCTTTCACTTGCGATGGTCAGTAGGTCATGAGACGTTTCCATCATAACCTGAAACATATATCGTTGCATAAATGCCCGTAAAAGTCAATTGAAATGGCCAGCGTTCGCCAGACCAAACTGGAAAGCCTGGTGTCGAAGAGACCAGAGGGCATCGTGAAAGAATCTTGCGGGAATCGATGGCTCAAGAAGCCACGGAGCGAGAGAGAAACCCTATTATTAATAATGCTGTCAAAAACCAACGAAGCCCCGAGCAAGTTAATGCCGTCGCCAGCCAACTGTCCCTTCAACAACAGACGTCGCCTGCACCAGAGGCTCATATTATCTCTAGAGCGGTGACCTCACGACTCACCACGGATCTCGCTTTCAGGCCACGACTACAAATTGAGCAAGCGCAACAAGCAAGACACGGTAAGAGCCCAACAACAGAACCATCATCGCCAAGGCACAGCCAATCCGGATGGAAATTCCTTAGTTACCCTATTGAATTGTGTGCAGAAGGCGAGACTCTAATTTTGGCATTGTGGGCGGCGGTCTGCTCGTCGGCGAGCTGGTCGGCTGCTTCGGTGATGTCTATGGGCGACTGACGTTCATGCAAGGCCGAACTGGGCAACGTAGGGGAATCGTCGAGCTGCTGTCCTTCCGCAATAGCAGCATTGCATATCCGAGTGAGTGGCGAAGACGGCGTCTGGCCCAAGCGGCCACGGACTGGTGAGACGCCGCTAGTCGATCAAATCCTGGGGTATCCAGAACATCCCCGATGCCTTTATCGGCGCTTCGAGCCCGAGACCACGCCGCCCCCAGAACTCTCCCTTGCTCTTCTCCCTTCTCCGCTTTCCAGGTGGATAACCAGATCCATTTGTCAAAATTATAGTCCCTCTCGCTGCTGAAGTTGTAGACCAGCAGTATGCACAGGAGCTGCGCCGTGTACAGGGCAAAGAGCCGCCGAACGAATAGCTCAGCCGTGTTGCAAAGCATCGCTTGGTCGGAACCGGACAACGACGCTTCCTATAAAGGATGATGTAGCGAGAGGACAGGGAGTGCCGCCGGCGTGAAGATCAAGTGAGCATTGCCCTTATGCCAATGTTCTCCAAATCTAATCTGTAAGAGCGATATCTGGACTATCTTATGATAGCGGCAATAATAATAGTGGCCCAAACCAAGGTCAATCGAGAGAGAGCTCATTTGGTATTGGTAAGCTTTTTGGTTCATGGCCACGAGCCACCAGAAGCACCTGCCCATCCCCGCCGTCCCATTGGGTCAGGGACCAGTGACTCGAAAACCAATGTTTTCGAATGCCTAATCAAATTCGTTTCCCGCTTGGCACGCAAATAACGTCATCTCGGACATTGTGCGAACTGGCGACACAAAAGTGAGTCCATATGCTCAGGGACAATGTCATCTCAGCCTTCCGGCGCGGTATCCCCAAGCATGTCACGTTTGAAAGCTGGCCAATATGTCGACTCTGCCCACCGTTTCAACCTTTGTAGAGCGGCAAATAAGGTGTATATGCCAAATATAGAATCCGTGCTCCCCATGGGGATCGATTCAAATGTTGTTGCTTTGTCATCCTCACCGAGCACAGTGGCAACGAATCGCCAATCGTGGCCAATAACAATAACGCCAGCAAGAAATTCGATTGCGGACAAAGCTTTGCCTCCCCAACGTAAGCTACGCCATTGAGACGCGTGCCACGTAGCAACTTGGAGTAAGGCAGTGTCGTAGGGATCGCCGTGACCTTTCGTCTCTACCGAGATGGCGATAGGGAACTTGTTCAAGTCTCCCCAATTTGTGTGGTTAATCGAGAATCCCGGTCGGCTTCGGCAGAGAAAGTTGATAATCCGCTTCTCCTCCTCGCCCACTTCGACAGCAAGGCAAAAGTCCACCATTTTACTTGGGGCATCTTTGGGTTTGTATTGTGGGAGGAGGCTGGTAGTAAGGCTGCAGAATTGTCATTTAGGCACAAACAGCCGATTACGAAGCTTACCAATAGCGGTAGTCTAGAGGACCACTGCTTTCGGGGTCATCTCTCAAGACCCATTCAAAGAACCCAGAATGTACGTCCATATTCCATGATGACTCCCCGTGGTGGCCATCGCGGCATTTATTAGCTCGTTCGAAGATTTGACGAATCTTTGCCAGGGCCGGATATCGCTAAGAAGTCGAGTCTTCGCCGTCTGAATAAGCAAACCAGGGGATGTCAAATTCCGATCCTAGCTATTGAAGGAGATATTAGCACTGGATATGATATCGAAATAAAGCAGCGGCACAAACCTGAGCTCGTAAGCCTTGGGGCAATATCCTGTCTCCTCTCTGAATGCCTTTCGGGTCCCGACGTAGTTGCCTCAGTGACGGTGACTTTATTTCATCTTCGAAACTGGCGGTGCGGAATCCGGTTTGCTGTATCTCGGCGTTACGAAACTGTTTCCTCGGTGAAGAATTGCGAGATGTTTTGGAAGCTTTAGATGAGACGTGGGAAGGTGTCGAATGTCCTACGGAAATGCTCCTGTCATCCAAATCACCGAGTGCAGAAGTAGATTTGTTAGGACGAGGAGTACGGTCTGGCTCTTGGTCTGACGCTGACTCTAGCATAACAGGCTCTGGGCTGTCGCGTAAGCACCGTTTTTGCTTATACTGTGAAGCAGACATAGACTTCTGTCGATAGGTGGTGGATTGATGGATTGAGGTGCCTTGCGCGGAAGGAGGGGGCGAAGGCAATTCTTCTCGCCTTGCTCTTTTCGCGTCGACCGGATTGCTCTCTTCGTCGAGTATGGTATGTTTTCTTGAACGCTCAACAACAGATTCGCACCAACTTAGAACTTCCGAGTCGTGCATCATGGGTGCCGATGCACGGAGGGCATTGAGCATTTTGGTGATGTTGTGCGCTAAGGAGCAGGCCATCGACCCTTTGGTGGGAGCCTGAAAATGTGGGTTGCCCCGGGAACAGGGTGGAACCCCGCCCCATCACTTCCGAATTTGAGAGGGCCCGATTGCGGGGAAGGCAGCTGAAAGACCTCGAGAAGGAAGGAACATTTTATCCCAGCCAGTTAGGCGCATCCAGTTGCTCCTAAGGACAGCGGACGTATCGGTCTCATTGGCCTTCGTCGATCCAGCCGAAGAGGACATATATCGTAACTCCTGGTCGCGTAAGCGGTCTACATGACGTAACCTGGTGTCTGAGGAGGTTCCCATGACTGCGTCTGATAAATGCCGCAGCTGCGTACTATTATTGCCCATTTGGAATGTCGCCAGCAAGTCTGGATAGAAGTCCATCGTTCAGGTGATCGCGAAGCCAGCGGCCTTTGCTGCCAGATTTGATCTCTCTCGGATGGGTTTTCTTTAAGTGCCACAATAGGACCTCGAGGCTAGTCCAGCGGAACCCACAGTGTGTACACTGTGCCTTGGTTTTTCAATCCCCACCGCGCTTTCTTCGCTATCCTGTGGTTTTTGTCCTAGATGCCTGGAAACGCGATCGGCGGCTATCTTTAGCGCAAATAATCGCAGGCTCGGGTTGGTTATAGTGCAAGCCAAAAGACTGTATAATCTGTCGAGCTCCTTTTTGGTTGGTTGTTGGGGTGCATTGCGAACGGTCAGCTTCACCGTCTCCTACGATTCTGTCACGAACTGGGTCAAATGTAGCACAGCTCATGGCGTAAATTGATTCATCCTTACGAAAGGCAGTTTTATAGTGTGCTATAAATTACAAATAAATCACGTTAGATTAAGCCCTTCCATGAGATATTGTAGTTCTCTTGTCAGCTCACAGAGCACCGAACAGAGCGAAATGAGCATCATTTTCCGTTGGCTACTCTAGTATTGTGTATTGTGTGCCGGAACGTGCCCAGTTCCTGCTTTTATACCAATCAAATTTATGATATCCAGCCCCGAGTTTTTCGCCTTGAAACTGGGCCCGTTCCAATGCAATCACGAAGTCGATACGAAAATCTTCAGAACGTGCCACAATACTAGAGTAAGAGACGGGCGCAAGGACGAAAAGTGTATGATACTGTGTATGCCACAAAGAGGCAGGGTCCCGCGTAGGTCGGTGGGGCTCCAGGAATCACCAACTCTTGGCTGATTTGGATGAGGCATTGGTGCTGTCATTCGGCTTTTCCCTACGTCAACATTTGTCAATTTGGAATCCAGTCTCATCCATATTCCAGATATCCGACTCGACGATACCATAGTCTGTAATACAGTCATACAGCCGCTCAAAGTAGGTAGCCGCATTTCTGATCCTCTCAGTATTGCGGCGATCAGCTTCTCGAATCCGCTGTGGTAGTACAGAGTACTTATGGCGCTCAATAAAACGGCCTACCCAGTGCTGGCCAACGGTGGGCTGTCCACACTGTAATGCTCGGGAGGACCTCACGTACAGTAGCATCAGATTGGCCGCGTCTCTGATGAATTCTTTCCGAATAGACGTGTTCACCTTTTCTAGGCAGCCAATATACCTACACAATGCAATCTCTTTAGATTCTGATAGCTTCGCATTGCTTGCATGGCGACCGCCTTTGGGTAGAATGCCCGAGATCTGACGATTCAGCCGGTGTTGTGAAATATTGAATTCCTTGGCCACAGATCTTTTTTGGCAGCTAGGTTCGCTCTGATGTACTGAAGAGTTTTATTAACGCGTTCCTCAATCGCTGGAGCAGTGGAATCCATCGTGGTAGCTGAGAAATTCGCGGCAGAAGTGATGATCTTTAGAAAACGGCTCGGTTTGGGGCTCGTTTTGGTGGGGTCAGCACACTGTTTGAGGATGCAGGCGAAGATGGAACCTAAAAAGTGGGGGCAGGCACAAGTAATATTCCGTTCGGATGCGCCTGGGCTCTGCTGCCACGTGCCGTCTCCTGAATAAATGTTTGATGCTTGTACGAACTACATCGTGCCTGCTCCGAGACAAGGCGGAACAATAAGTGCCGGAAACGAGTTGCGTCGATTCAAGTTAACAATTTGTTGTCATAACGCTGTGAATTAAGTGAGTGTCGAGGCAATCGTGTGAGGCTGCACCCAAACCAACTGCAGGTGTCCAATCTGTGGTGGGGAACTGCCTTGCTCGTCGTGTCAAGCGAGGGACGCGTTTCGTGGCAACCCCCAGGTAGCAGTGACAAGTAATTGGAGACCGCGGCTCTCACATCTGAGCTGTTTAAGCAAACAAACGTCACCAACAGTTCTCGGCCTGGTCTGCCTGCAAGCAAGAGAATGAGCATTGTGCCGACGCGACTCGACACGACTACGACCAGCTCATACCACCCTTCCATCGTTTGTACCTCGCAGAGATCCGTGACTTGGCCGGCAGCGGGTTGGTTGTATTGTCATGGTTCTCGTCAAGATGGAGCTCGACTGGGAGCAGGTTACCGGGATTCACATTTAGCAGCAGACGGTCGTGTACCCAAAGTCAAAAAAAAAAAAAAAGGGGGGGGGGGGGGGGGGGGGGGCAAAAAAGTAATAATATCGTGCTCAAGGGGATACCTTCTGAAGTCTCTTGCAATCACCTTTGTGATTAGGCCAGTCCTCTGCGTGGTATGGAATCAGTACTGCGCTGGAAAAATACGTACGGAAATAAGTACAGAAAATAGCAACTTACCAGTTTGACACTCCTTATTGCAATAGTACCTCTCCTTACACCTCCCGCACCTCAGCATTCTTGGCTCCTCATCATCAACTTGTTCTCTCCTCCCACACCCACTACAAACCTCGGCCCACATCGTATAGATCGATTCTGAGCCCCGGTCGATCGATTTATATCGATTGTCAATTTCAGTCGATCGATCGACGTCGATCGGCGATCAAATCAATCATTGTTGGTCTTTATGACTTCTATCTACAGTGATCTTGCCCATCACTTGAAGGACTTGCCTCCAATTCTCCCCTTCAAGTAGACTGAGAGGAAGAAGCGTCGGCTGATATATGCCAGCCTTGCTCCAGGAACGGAGGCACTGGGCCATAGCACAATATGTCGCCGTAGGCGAGATCTGAGTGGGGTTGTCATCCTCCCACAACTGCCGAAGTCTCTCTCCGTTTCTGAAGATGACGATGCAATGGTAAGAAAGTCAACAGCCATATAAGAGAGCCGAGGAAAGCGAGCAGCACCAACGCCCCTCCACCAACCAATTGGATCAGCTTTGTATGCGATGTTGTCAGCCGGTGGCTCGGATAGATACTGGTCAAGCTCATCCTGTAGGGGCATCGCCGCTGACTGTTGTTGCCGTTTGCTCTGTCGCCCCCGAGAGTCAGAACTGGCCAATGACCTACTAAAGGCGAGCCGACGTTCGATATAGTCCAAGGCACTAGCAGCCCCTGCCCCTGAAACGAAACTAGAAGCCGCATCAGGAGCTTTGCTCTTGTACTTCTCTTCCCAGATGGTCGCTAAACTCTTCTTATAAGTCCTCTTCCATTCCGAGGTCTGACGAGATGGGAGTTGGTTCCAAAGCTGATCTAGAGCTCGCCATTTCTTGCACGGATGGAATACAACTGCCGCTACATAGGCCTTAGAGAATAGCTTCCCACAGTAGTCGTCGAGTTTCTTCCATCCGAGCTTGATGTAAACCTTCAAAAGCCTCCGCGTCTTTGCATCCATGTCGTCGAACAGTTGAACGTCTTCCATGATCTGGTCGTCATTCTCTTCAATTATTACTCCTTGGACGGCCAGTTCGAGGTGGTCGAGGAGCATCTCCACCACTTGGAAGTACTCGTTGAATCCACCTGAGGTTGAGCGTTTACCAGCGATACCCTCGCCCTGCAGTTGCCTTGATGCGACTTTGCATGGTTGAAGGATTTTTTGAACCGCAGCGACAACTTTCCATTCTTCAAGTGAAAGCTTTTCTTTCAATATTGCGGGTTTATCCTGTTCTTTTCCGCCTTGACTAATCCATCTTTCCTCGACGATGGAAAGCATCCTGTTCAACCCTGTACGTTTTAGCAGAGTACGCGAGCCATTGCCTCATCGGATTGCCAGCGAGTACAGACATGTTGAACCCACGTAGGAATAGGCTCATCAGGAGTGGTCTGTCGTTGAGCTTCGTAGAAGTCCTCGAGAAGTTGACTGCTTGTTCGAAGGGCGATGCCAATATTATGCAGCTTTCCAAATGGCCCAAACTTGCGGTACTTGTCCACTTCCTCTGCGTTGATGGTCGCAGGAACTGGGTAATGATCCTGATCCTCATCGGAGACGGTTTCAGTCTCGAAGGCATCATCCATGCCCGGCTCGCTGAAGTCGTCGTCCATCGCCAGCTCATTGATGGCGTCGGACAACTGTCGATGCTCTTCTTCTTCAGTCATAAAGTCCTTATCGCCTCAGTGAGCAAGCAGCTCGTTGAAATTATCCCTTTTGCTGCCGTACATCATGGCGCGGACCGTTCGATTCAGAAAATGAGGGGCGCATCGAATGCGACGTTCATGCTGGTCAAAATTGAACTCTGCACCAAGTGCTTCCATAGCCGTGTCATTATTCGTAGCGTTGTCAAGCGTGTAGTACCCGATCCTGAAGCCGAATAAGAATTAACATAGTCGTATGGCGGGTAAGAATTGATTGCCATTATTTTGTACCTGTCTTGAAGACCAAATGCGCCGATCGTATCTGCAACTTCATCTGTAAGCGCGGCTCCGGTATGGCGCTTCCTGAGGGCCGGCAATGCCAAAAGTATTCTCCATTGCTTCCAATCTCGGTCGATAAAGTGGGCGTTGATGCCAAGGAATGATGTGTTTTGTCGAGAAGTCCAACCATCGAAGGTAAAATATACCATACTTCTCGCTCTTTGAAGCAGGTTGCGAACTGGGCCAAGAGCGCGGTTGTACTCGTCAACTAGCAGATTCAAAAGGGTCTTGTCGGATAAGGCTGCCTCTGTTAGTTGAACAAGCAGACTTGACGTAATTGCTAGATGTCATAAAACCATCGATATCAGTAGTTGAGAGGCTGACCAGCCACCCTGATGAAATCAGGTGGCTAGGAAGTCTTCCAAACTAAAGATAAAAGACATGAACTCTTCTGAAGGATACAAAAAAAACAAGAACAATAATTTTTATTCAATAAATAAGCTTAGTTAACAATGAGTCTCATAACGTGACAGTTATGAGCCCGGACCCGCGTCATAAGTATTAGGACGCTGCATATTGTCCTACATTTGCTGTCAGTATTGTATCCTTCCAGTGTCTTTATGATCGAGGCATCCGTTGGGATACAATCTCTACGCCAACACGGCTAATCCATAAGTCTGGAACACCAATTTGTATGGTTCAGAGATATCATAAACAATGGGTTCTTCAGTATGAAGAAACAACAGATGCAAGCTTGGAAGCGGCAGCAGCCTATATTGCCAGACGAAAAAGGCGGACTAGTCGAGATCAAAGAGCAACTGCTATTGCAGACGGAACGCTGTGGCACAACCGACTAGGTCACCCTAGCCCAAAGACCCTTGAGCAGTTAGGAAAGAAATGCATTGGAGTCAGGCTTAAAGGACCAAAAACTGTGGAATGTGACCACTGCGGCCGAGGCAAGATGCACCGGCAGATATCCCGAAGGCGGCCAAGCAGACCGAGCAACCCATTTGAAGAAATCTGGGTTGACTGGACCGATCTTGCGGAAGATTACCAAGGCTATGTTCGAGTTATGTTTATCACGGACGCATATTCTGGTCTTGTTTTTCCTTGCTTTCTAAAAAGCCATGGTCTAGGCAAAGAAAACCGAAGAATTCTACGAGACTTCTTCGACTGGATAGAAGTTCAGTACAGTTTTAAGCCAAAAGTCATACGGTCAGACGGCGAGTTATTCAGCAAGGAAGTTCGGAAAGAACTGAAACTTCGATCTATCGAAGCCAAGAAATCAGCCCCGAATACTCAGGCCCAGAATGGAGGCGCCGAGAGATCAGGGGTGTTATCATGGAAAAAGCCCGAACAATGCGCATAGCCGCAAATCTGCCACACAACCTGTGGAAGGATATTGTGGAGGCTGCTTGCTACCTACGCAACCGAACACCTCTTGAACGTAACAAATGGCACAGCCTATTCGGAAGTGTTTTTAAGAAGCAACCGATACTTAGTCATTTAAAGGCTTATGGTTGTAAGGCATTTGCAATGACTGCAGATGCCCAACTCAAGCTTCAGAGAAGGCAAAAGCTTGAACCGAGAGTACATATCGGGTATCTCGTAGGCTACCAATCCTCAAATATCTACAAGATATGGGTTCCGCACAAGAATAAGGTTATCTTAACCCGAGATGTTATCTTCAATGAGTCGGCTTTCTTTGAGAACAAAATAGCTCAACCCGAACTACGACAAACCATAAGTCAGCTGCTGGAAGAAATTGAAATCCCAGAAGAACGGCAAGTTATGGAGTCTATGCTCGAAGAAGAAACATTCGAATATTCTGATGAATCAGATGAGAAGAGATTCTGGATGAAATCGTTGTGAACACAGACATGCAGGATGAACCAGACGGTGAGGACGATGAAGATGCATGTGAGAGGTCAGAAGAGCTAGGTTATATAACGCCGCCTCTGACAGACCCAGAGCTTGAAGAGAGCCCGGAGGCAATATTCACAGCCAAACTTCCAATTCGCTACCGATCTGGCCATCCTGAGGGGGGTGGATAATAAAGGCCACA